ACCTGGACTATTCTCGGTGTGAACTTTTAAATTACTAATTCAATCTCTTCAGTTGTTTCAGATTCATTCACATTTTTGTTCTTGAATCATTTTGGTATTTTAGGTGTCTTATGAATTTATCCATGTCATCTAAATTATCTAATTTAGTGGTGTACAATTGTTCATATAATTCCTTTAAAACTGTTTAATTTCTGTAAGGTCTGTAGTAATGGCCCATCTTTCATTTCAGATTTTAGCAATTTGAGTCTTCTCTCTTTATTTCTTGGTCAATTTACCTAATGTTTGTCAGTTTTGTTGATCTTTTCAAAGAACCTGCTTTTGGCTTCATTGATTTTCTCTTTTGTTTTTCTATTCTCTGTTTCATTTCTTTCTGTTCTAATCCTTCCTCTACTTGCTTTAGATCAGTTTTCTCTTCTTTTTTCAAGTGTCTTAAGGTGGAATATTCCATTATTGACTCAAAATATCTTTTCTTTGGTCATATATGAGTACATTGGCCCCCAAGCACTGCTTTAGTTGCCTCCCATGAGTTTTAGTAAGTTGGGTCTTAATTTTCAGTTATTTCAGTATACTTTCTAATTTCCTTTTTGATTTTTTCTTTGACAGATAGTAATTTGGGGGTTTGTTAATTTCCAACATAGTTGTGAGTTTCCCTTACAACTTTCTGTTTTTATTTATGAAATCCACTCAATTGTGATTGGAGAAAGCATATGCTTTGTATTATTTCTATCATTTTATATATATTCTGGTTCATTTTATGGCTTAGTTTTTCTTGAAGAATGTTTTATGGGCAGTTGAGAAGAATGCTTATTCTGCTTTTGATGACTGGATTGCTCTGGACATGTTTGTTAGATCTAGTTGGTTTATGCTGTTGTTTGAATCTTTATTTTTTAGTTATTATTTTCCCTAGGTGTTCTATTCACTATTAAAATGAGGTACTGAAGTTTCCAACCATTGTCATTGAATTGTCTTTTTCTCCCTTTATTTCTGTCAGTTTTTCTTACATGTATTTTGGAATTCTGTCATTAGGTGCATATGTTTATATAATTGCTATATCTTGGATTGACAGTTTTTCATTATAAAATGTCCATCTTTATCTCTTAATAACTTTTTTTTTGCTTTAAAGACTATTTCGTCTAATATTAGTATGACGACTTTAGTATGGCATTTTTTGTGGATTTTTGTTGGAATTATATTTATTTTCCTACCCTTCTCTTTTTAATCCATTTTTATCTTTGAATCTGAAGTATGACCCCTGTGTACAGCATAGACATAGATCTTGTTCTTTATCAAGTCTGACAATCTCTACTTTAGGATTGGATTGTTTAATCCATTCACATTTAATGTTACTGATATACTTGGATTTTTACTTGCAATTTTACTTTTTTCTATGTTTCTCATATCTTTTTCTCATTCCTCTATCCCTCCTTACTGCTTTCTTTTGCAAAATAGTTAATATTTTCATATGTAGCATTTATATTTCTTTAATGATTTTTTCACTATATATGTTTTAGTTATTTCCTTAGTTTTTTAACTTTATTTTATTTTATTATGTTATGTTAGTCACCATACCGTACATCATTAGTTTTTGATGTAGTGTTCCATGATTCATTGTTTTCGTATAACACCCAGTGCTCCATGCAATACGTGCCCTCCTTAATACCATCACCGGGCTAACCCATCCCCCCCACCAATTCCCCTTTAAAACTCTCAGTTTGTTTCTCAGAGTCCATAGTGATTGATCTTTGGCTTACTCTATACATCTTAAATTATCAGGATCATATTTAGATTCATACCAACTTAGCTGTAGTTATATATAAAAACATTATTTCTATATACCTCTATATCCACCTCACCCTTTTTTGAGGTACAATTGTAATACACATTACATCTGTAAATACTACAAACTAAACAAGAATTTGTTATAATTCTTACATTATATAATGTATGTCTATTAAAGAAGTTGGTAAAAGAAGAGCAATGATGTACTTGTAGCTTTTGTGTATTAAACTTATTTATTACTTATGGTTCTCTTCATTTATTCTTATAGACTCGATTTACCATCTGGAGGCATTTTCTTATCACAATACATCTTCTCTCCCACTCAGCTCCAGTGTACTACTATAGGTAAATATATTTTCACACATTACAGGCCCAACAATACATTATATACATACTGTTTTATTCAATGCTTTTGAATCAGTTAAAAGAAGAAAGTAGGAAAAATGTTCATTTATATTCTCTTTTATAGTTACCTAATTACCATTCCTGGTGCCTGTCCCCACTTTGGTGGGGGCATATATTCAATTTACTCTCTGGGGTCATTCCCTTTCATCTTGAATAACTTCTCTTACTATTTCTTATAAGGCAGGTCTGCTAGCAACAAATTTCCTCAGCTTTGTTTATCTGGGCATGTCTTTCTTTGATCATGTTTGAAAAATAGTTTTGATGGACATAGAATTCTTGGTTGATAGTTTTTTCCTTTGAGCAATTTGAATGTTATTTCAATTCCTTCTGACCTCTATTGTTTCTGCTTAGCAGTTCACTGTTAATCTTTTTCGTTTTTTCTTAAGTGATAAAAAGTTTCCTTTTTAAGTAAAGAGGGTTTCATTCTTCTCTCTATCTTCCTCCTCCTAAGATTTATTTCTACCTTGCCATTATCTTTCAGCATTTTTACTGTGATGTGTCTGTGCATTTCTTTGTGTTTATCCTAACTGTAGTTCATTGAGTTCTTAGCCAGTTAATGTGTCTTCATTGGCTGTATATCCTTGGCACTAATTCCTCAGACTTTAAATGGTTGTTTTGTTTTGTTTTGTTTTATAACTTTGGATAAAGAGCTGGTCAGTGGAGTTCTTCACACTATTGTGCTGGAAATCCCTTCAGGAATCATATAATTTTCAAACCTGGATGCTCAGTGACTTGTGAACTTTGCAATTGCCACAGAGAAATGACCCATAGGTTACCAAACAAAATTAAGCTCAATCAGTTGTCAGTATTACATGAATGAGTCATATTATTATTTATGTGCTTTGGAAGTTTTACAGATGATATCATGACCTGGGTTACTATAATTAAAAAATTTTTTTAATTCTATAATAGTCATCCACATGTTCATTAAGTGGGTAAAATTATAGCAAATGCTGAAAAATACACCTAACAATAACTTGAAGAGCTGTTTATATTATAAAAGTTCATAAAGCAATTGGGAAAAAAAAACCCACCGTGATACACTATACAATTTAGTAGGTGATACAGAGAAAATAAAAAGCAACACTAAATAATTTTTTGCTCCAGTATTTGTAAATAAATATCTTCTGGGACTATATCTTCCCTAAATGTCATATAGTACTAAATGTGAGTTTTTAGATACATTAATTTAAAATTTACAAGGGCCATAGAGGACATAATAAATGTCAGTTACAGCCTTGGGGCCCCTTGAACCAGCAGGAACTGTGGCTTTTAACACTAACCACCCTATTAAGTTCTATTTTAGATTTTGCTGCCAACCACTGCTGTGAAAAGTCAAGCAAGAGGGGACACAGTATCAGGCTTGGAAGTCTCTATACACTGTCAAGCGTGACACTGTCAAGCTGATCCATGGGTACCCTTGACTACATCACTCAGCCCAGTTATAGAGGTGGAGAATAGCTCCTGTCACACAGACAGACTCAGCCCAAGTCTCCTCCTTGCCTCTCCATGATTAAGCCTTGGGAGTTTTTCCAAAGCTAAGGGAGCTCCCTCACCCCATTCATGAGGAGTTCAAGGAGTTAATGGCCAGCCACCAAGCCACTAAGTCTCAGCTTCTTAAGCTGACATACATATGACCTAGCTTTTTACAGAGTGCCCAACAGGATGCATGTCAGCTTGTTCACAGTGGTCACCAGCTCAGCAACACACCCTTTACTGCTTTTCCTCCTCTCCTGTCTTATTTTCTGCACTTGCTCATTGTTGCTTTTTGCAATCACTTCCGAAGTAAACTGTGAACAGAAGCTCATATCTCAGTCTTATGGGTGGGGGGGAATACAAAACAAAGACAGCAAGAACCCCAAGCAAGACAACAACTCCTACTCAAGTCAAGTCAAGACAAATACGGGAACTCTAGCCAAAGCACTGACTCCCTCTCCTCAGCAGAGTGGTCCCCAAACCACCAGTGGCAACACAATCACCCAGCAGGATCAATATCATCACCAGGAGGGTCAGTAGCACTTCTGGTGTGTTTCTCAGAAGATCTGATTGTTTTGCTGAAAACTACCACTTAGGGTTGGGAACATCTGTGTGACAGAACCCGAGTCACATATGGGATATAAACTGCAAGGAAGTCTGGCTTCCTGTTGCTGCTGTAAAAAATTCCCAGGGTCAGAATGACCTAAGGCAACAGAAGTGTATTCTTTCACACTTCTGGAGGACAGAAGTCCAAGATCAGTGTCATGGCACTGACATCAAAGTGTGGACAGGACCTGTTTCTTGCCTCCAGAATGCAGCGGCTGTGGGCCCTCCTTGACTAGTGGCCGCATCACTCCCTCCCTGCCTTCTGGTCACAGGGCCGCGTTCCCGGTGCTCTAATGGAGCCCCAGCAAGTAAGAGGGCAGAGAAGCCACTTCATGCGGAAGATGATGGAAGCCCCAGTGGCGAGCCACCCTCATCCCCACAGGGTCTGAGCTCCGACACAGGAGACTGCACATCTTCTAGAGAGCTTGCCCCCGTGCAGTTTGCCAGCACTGGGAAAGGCAGCTCCACACATGGAAACACTGAGCAACCTGTTCAAGCTGAGAAAGAGGTTCCACGAAGGTTTCCCAGCCCGTGGAGCTCTGGACACTCCGGAGTATCCTCTCCACCCGCCCATGGCCCCTCTTCCCACCGCCGTGCGCCAGGACGCCAGGTTAGCGGCGCTTTTGCAACACCTGCGCATATCGGGGTCCCTCCGCATGCCCCCTCCTCTCCGGGACCCTGGCCCACGCGTTGGAGACCTCATCTCTCTCAGTCCACTCCTGCCATTTCACTGCTGAGCATCTCCATGCGCCCTCGCTGTGGTCTGGAAAGCTGGGGCAGTATGAGACCATCTGATTTGATGGCGCTGTGCCTCATTTCTCTCCATGACTGGACGGAGCAGAACTTCTCTCTCGCTCACCTTCCTTCCCATGCAGGTCAGTGTGGCGAGCATAATGTTCCGCGGTGACTCAGACACAGGCCGGGGAAGGGGGGCGGGGAGGAGGTGCACCTCCATCTTGCAGCAGCTCCATCTGGAGCCTGTTCCAGAGGGGACACCGGCTCTCCCATGCAGGGCTTGGAAGTGCTGCGTTGACCTAAACCAGTGCTCTGGCCCTTCCTGACTTAAGAGAGGGTACAACATGTGGGGATGGGATGGAATGTTGAGCACCTCTGTTTCAGCGTATCAGCCCAGAATAGGAGAGGTCTGTATTCCCAAAGCAAGCAGTCACTCCATTTTCCAGCCCCTGACACAGGTGGCAAAGGAAGACCTGGGTGAGAAAATGTATAAATATTTTGTGTTTTTACAGTGGCAGCAAAAGCACCTGAGACATAAATACACACATTACCAGAAAAGTGCCCACTCCAAACTTGTAAAAAGGTCAATTCCAACCTCTGCTTTATCACCATTTCCTCCTTATCCCATTGGTAACCTCTCTATTCTGCCATCACATGATCTTGAGCTCTTTCTCCACCAGCCAGCCCTAGAGTCAGATAAAGAGCAAGAGGAGAAGGAGCTGATCTGTGACTGAAGCAGAGAGGAGAGAGTATAAGAGCCAAAAGAGAGGAGGAAGAGACGGTAATGGAGCAAGGGGAAGCCTTTGGGGAGTTTCTGGTTATAGCCTGGAATGTCTGGGATCTTGATACTTCATTTCAGCCACATGCGCAAGGACAAGACAGGGAGGGAAGAAGGGTTTAGGTTTCATTGAGAAAGTTGGGGTGATGGTGATGGAAGGAAGAGTTCTGGAAAGAAGAGACTGTTAAAGGTGAAGCCAGCACCTTGTGTTGGACGTTTGGATTGGTGCTAGTGGCCCCTGCACCCCCAGACACCTGCACACCCCCACCTGGGTCACGGAGGAAGGAATAGTTGTAGCACAGAGTACACCAGAGACTACTAAGGCACGCATGCATGCACTTATGAGATGCTTCCAGACCAGCACGTTCCCTTCTAGCAGGCAGGTATATGTGGTAACTACAGCATATACAAGAAGCAACTTGGTGAACACCTTCCAAAGGCAAGATGAGTGAGTAAGGGTAACTTGTGGTTTTCAGACTTCTTAAAAATTCAACCCATCACAAAAAATACATTTTATATTCCAACCCAGTAAATCCCATATACCCTCACACAACTGAAACAGCAATTTCACAAAACGAAACTTATCCTTACTAATTGTGATATGCTCTGATGCTTTCTTTTCTGTCCTATCCCAGTTAAAAAATAAGTTCATCAAGCTCCTCAGAACTGACTATGCCTGCAATTTCAAAAAAATGAGTTAGATGAGACACTGCCTCCTCTACCCCTGCTTCCCGTGGCCATGGATAGAGGATTCAATGAGCCAGGACTTATTCCCCCCGGAATGTGTTGGGACTTGCAATGTGACCATTTCCTCTGAGATGGATCCCTGTGTGAGTAACTCATGCTTTGTTTTCAAAAGAGATCCCTTGAATCCTGTGGCAGTTTAACCGTGTTGGCCTGGGAGTGACTCTTCCACTATAGACAAACTAGAACCGTTTGTGAATTTGATGCTGAGAGCAATCTTATTTCTGAAGTCCAGGGAGGCAGCTCTCTGTTGTCCTTCATTTATTAGCTACTGATGGTATATTAATATCTGCTCGTAAGGTTATTTTCTCTCAGCATTTATTAGGTATTTATTTTTTTAAGATTTTATTTATTTATTTGAGAGAGAGAGAGCAGAGAGCACAAGTGGGGAGGGGGGAGGGAAGGAGAAGCAGAGGGAATGGGAGAAGCAGACCCTCTGCTGAGCAGGGAGCCTGATGCGGGACTCAATCCCAGGACCCTGAGATCATGACCTGAGCTGAAGGCAGAAGGCAGACACTTAACTGACTGAGCCACCCAGGTGCCCCATTATTAGGTATTTATAAGTCACTTCTTATATAATACTTGCTCACTGACCATTGTCTTCACAATAGAGGAAAAGTCCCCAGGGGAAAGAAAAGCTGCTCTTTGTCTTTCATGGAGTCTGCAGGCTCTTTTGATTATTAATTATGTAATGCTGAGCAGCACACTTAGCTCTTGGAATCTCATGTTCCCCATTTCTAAATTGGAAATAAGAATATATACTATAGAAAGTTGTAAAGATAGAAGCTGTGTTCATACACACCTCAGTTCAATCATTGTCACTCAGTTCCTGACCACTGCGACAAAGCAAGTATTGTTATAAAATGAGTCAGTGAATTTTTTGGTTTCCCAGTGCATATAAAAGTTAGTGTGCAATAGCATTGTCTAAAAAAAGCAATCTATGTACCTTAATTGTAAAATATTTTATTACTAAAAAAATGCTAACCACCATCTGAGCTTTCATCAAGTCATAATCTTTTCACTGGTGGAGGGTCTGCCTCAGTGTTGGTGGCTACTGACTCAGGGTGGTTGTTGCTGAAGGCTGGGGAGGCCATGGCAATTTCTTAAAATAAAACAACAATAGGGACACCTGGGTGGCTCAATTGTTAGGTGTCTGCCTTCGGCTTGGGTCATGGTCCCAGGGTCCTGGGATCGAGTCCCACATCGGGCTCCCTGCCCGCGGGAAGCCTGCTTCTCCCTCTCCCTCTGCCTGCAGCTCACCTTGCTTGTGCTTGCTCTCTCTCTCTTCTCTCTCTGACAAATAAATAAAGTCTTAAAAAAAAATGGAGTTTGCTGCATCAATTGACTCTTCCTTTCATGAATAATTGCTCTGTAGCATGTGATGCTATTTGACAGCATTTTACCCACAGAACTTCTTTTAAAATTGGTGTCAGTCCTCTCAAGCCCCCGCTGCTTTATCAACTAGGTTTATCTAATATTCTAATCCTTTGTTGTCATTTCAACAATCTTCACGGCATCACCACCAGGAGTAGATTCTATCTCAAGAAACCACTTTCTTTGTTCATCCCTAAGAAGCAACTCCTCATCTGTTGAAGTTTTATCATGAGATCGCAACAATTTAGTCCCATCTTTAGGCCCCACTTCTGACTCCTTTCCTGCTGTTTCTACCACCTCTGCAGTGACTTCCTCCCCTGAAGTCTTGAACCCAGAGCACTAAAGTCTTTCCACTAACACTTTCTCCATGTCAGCAGTAAGGCTGTTTCACTTTCTGATCATCCATGTGTTCCCTGGAATAGCACTTTTAATGTCCTTCAAGAACTTTTCCTTTGCATTCACAACTTGGCTGTTTGTCACAAGAGGCCTAGCTTTCAGCCTGACTCAGCTTTTGACTCACTTTCCCCACTGAGCTTAATCATTTCTAGCTTGTGATTTAAAGTGAGAGGCATGTGACTCTTACTTGAACACCTAGAGGCCATTGTAGGGGTATTAACTGGCTAATATCAATACTGTTTGTCTCAGAGAATAGGGAGGCCCAAGGAGGTGGAGAGAGATGGGGAGACAGTCAGAGATGGGTAGGTGGAGCCCTCAGAACACACACATTTATCAATTAAGTTCACCATCTTACTGGGCACGGTTCATGGGGCCAAAAAACAATGACAATAGTAACATCAAAGATCACATGATCACAGATCACCATAGGAAATATAATAATAATGGAAAAGTTTGAGATATTATGAGAATTACCAAAATGTGACATAGAGACACAGAGTGAGCAAATGCAATTGGAAAAATGGGGCCAGTAGGCTTGCTTGATGCGGGGTTGCCATAGACCTTCCAACTATAAAAAATGTAGTATCTGCAGAGTGCAACAAAGTGAAGCACAGTAACACAAGCATGTCTGTGAGTGTCCTTTCCTTTGTTATGCTGTTCACCTACTGGTGAGAGAGGTGGTGGATGTTTTCATTACACATGGCAGTGAGGCCCCTCTCCCGACATGGACATGGACACAGAGTAGCTGGCTGTTGTACTCCTTATCTACCGTACTCAACACAGTTAAGCACATTCACCATCATTCCCAACATTCGTGGAAGAGCAGTCCAGACTGTTTCGACTTGGGCAGTCCACATAGTCCTTGGACTACTGTGGGCTGACTGTCACCCATCTGCTCCATGGAGCCTGCTCTGGCAAAGATGTATCACTGCCACCATGTGCTGGACACAGCCTCCTCTTGGCAGCTCTCATCCACTTTGGCATGCCTGCTGCACCTGACACTGTCCGTGGGAACACTCCTTTCCTAGCTCTCCCAGTCTGCCCCACCTTTCCATCATTGTTGCTGATGCTCCTTCCTCTGCTTGCTCCTGGATGAGACCTCTCATCTGTGAGATCCTGGGTGGGAAAAGAGGTGCTCCTGTGTCTGTGATGAACACCAGAGAGGAGCAGGGAAGTGAGGACAGCAAGGGGCATGTGTCGTGTCCCTTCCCAGTCCTGCCCTGAAGAGTATCTTTGGCCCCAGAGGAGAGAGGGGTTAGGGCAGAATCTGAGAGTCGGAGCAGGAGCACTGCTGCACCAGGGCCTGGTGACCAAGGCTAACACACGGGGGAGACGTCCTGCTACAATGCCAGAGCACAGGGCCAGCATCTGCTGTGTTGTGCAGAGCTGGTGACCTACACCAAGTATCCCCATCTCCAAAGAGCAGTAGGGAAGCAGCTTGCATGGAGGGCATTTCCACAGGGAGGCAGGAATGGCGGGGCTTTTCCTTGAGCATATGGGAGGCTCTGTGAGGTCTCCCAGCTCTGAGCTTTGGGCAGAGACTAGCCAATTGTTCACCAAATATGTCTGCTCTTATTTCTCAGATTACAGTCAGATATTTCCCAGCAGCTTCCCTGAGGTGTGGTGTGTCCAGTTACAGTGAAGGGAAGAAGTGAAGGCATGGTTGCCAACCCCTGTGGTTCTCAACACTGCTTTGTCATCTTCTGGCTTGGTTCAAGTGAGTATGGGAATAATGTGTTGAGACTGGATGTGGGGCAGTCATTCAGCATGTGGGATGGGACAGGAGAAGAGCTCTGGGCAGCATGGACAGGGAAGAACATTCTGGTTCTTCTGTAGGCTTGACACTGGACAACTGTTGGTTTTCACTCTCTGAGACACTTTTGACAAGCAGAAAATATGCCTGTTTCCTTCCTTATGCTGGCCCCAGTGAGAACAGATGTCACAAGATGATGCCAAAGCAGTAGTTGAGTATTTTTGCACATTTCACATGGAAAGTCATGGATGGGAGGGAGGAATGACAAAGTTGAAGTCATACACTCATCAAGCATATATAAGGGATTTTTCTTGGCTTGTCCTGGTAGACCAGTTTATGCCGGTGAGGGAAGAGGGTTCTGCTCAGTCCACACCGTGGTATGCTGTGAATGAGAGTTTCCTAACTTGGCTGCACAAGGAGGAGGCTGGGTCCAGGAGATACATGGCATCAAAGAGCACCTCTTGAGAGCAAGGGTGGGAGGGAACCCAAACTTTTAATATTAACTCTGGATCCTTGAAACTGGACCTTAATCCTGTCCTTAGTTTTCAACTCTGATTCTGGCTGTGATTTGGGCATATGTATGAACCCCATGTCACGGCGCTAATAAAGACAAGCTACAGTGATGCTGGTGGCATCCAGAACAATATATAGAAAGTATAAGTTCTTGAGGGGGCGGAGCAAGATGGCGGAGGAGTAGGAGACCTGGATTTCATC